CTACTGTTGCAGCATCCCCATGGTCCTGTGATCAAAATTCAGAGGTTTGGCAACTGGGTCTGGGAGAATTTTGGGAGTCCACAAGTCTTAAAGTTGCCAAGCCTGGAGACCTCTGCTGTGAGCTCTCAACACAGAATTTATTTATGTACCACCCACACCCACAAAAATTTAACATTACAGTCAGCTTGTTCCATTTCTTCATGATAGGAAAATACTAGCCAATTTCATAAACACTGATATTTGGGTCTTGGCTTTTGGCCTCAGGAAGGAAAATTTGTCCTGTTCCTTTTCTTCCACCTTCCTATGAACATCAACCAATAAAAAGGAGGCCTAGGAGCCACCCTCTTTACTCCCACTTCTAAGGATAAAAAGTAGACAGCCCTCTGATCAGAAAACCCTGATGGATTCTCTGGTGCTGGTGTGTGGTATCTCATAATTTGGCACAAGGGTTTAAGTCTAGAGAGAGTGCCAGTCTGGTCTATTGCAGGGTTAGTCCAACTTTGGCAACTTATAGACTTCAGCTAGCAGAATTCCCTAGACACCATGGCTGACAGGGGAATTCTGGAAGTTGGAATCCAAAAATCTTACAAGTTGCCAAGGTTTGACATCTCTGATGTAGTAGTTCTGGCATCAGGCTAGAAAGCAAGAGACCATGAGTTCAAGTCCCATCTTAGCTATGAAAGCCAGCTGGGTGATCTTGTGGCAATGATTCTCTCTCAGTCCAACTAACTTCAGTTTTGTTGTTGTGGGGAAACTAGGAGGTGATGTACTGGACACGTTAGCTGCCTTGAGTTATTTGTAAAAATAATACAGGCAGGATACAAATCAAACTAAGTCCCATCTACCCTGAGAGTCTTACGTGGTTGAATTTAACAGACTGCAGAAAATGAAACTCAGTTGAGGCATTGATAGGGTATAAAAAGATGAAGTCCCAGAGCTTGGAGAAGCAAATACACAGCCCAGAAGTAAACAGAAGGCTTCTGTACCGAGGCCAGGAAACTACGTGGCCATAAAGTTACCAAGCCTGGAATTCAAATCACAGATGACTGCAAGTTGAGTCACAGAAACGGGACTGGTTTCAAACCAAAAAAAAAGAAAAGTCCAGTTGCTATGACTCAAATTCCCAGCCAACTCTACCTAGTTGACGGAGAATCTTCATCGTCAAATCACAGATGTTTCTGCTTTTCACCCCCCAAATAAGAATGCTCAAATGTACCTCATGCCAGCTTGCTCTGTGGTTACAGGTGGGCCTGCGGCAACCTGTTCTTGGCTGGGCGCAGGACCAGGAAGGTCCGAGGGATTTTGGCCCAATGCTGTGGACTGCTGCTTGGCTTCAGCCACCTAAACCAACAAAAAATCACTGCTGCATTTTAAAACAGGCTTCAAAAGGTTCCAAGTGTTCACCTCCATGTCAGACTCTCACAGTAGCCCTCTAAACCAAACTATTTTATTTACAATATTTAGAATTTATTTAGAACTTTTATATTGCCGCCTACTCGCACATGGCAACTCAAGACAGCTTACAAGGATATAAAAACACCATATAAAAATAAAATCACCGATCCCATTCCAGCAACAACACACATTCAATACTCGCCATTTAATGGGCTCCATCCCACTCTGGGTTCCCCTGGCCCCATCACGTTGGGAAATGAAAGGTAATGAGGAAAGGATAATTTAGTTGTTGGAAAAAAAAACATCTCAAGACCATAAAATTTGGTCTTCCCCAATGTCTCCATTCAACCTATAGAATCATGGCTGGGTTCACCCGTTCCGCTAGGCCAAACACAGCCAGGAAGCCACGCTTTCCTGAGGCTGCATAACGCGGAAATTGGATCGCTGTGATCAACAAACCAGAATTGGAACCATGCCTGTCTTTCTGTGAGCTCACCCCCGTGTCAGTTTCTGACATGCTAGAACATTTATTTCTCATGCCTGGCAACCTTAAGATGTGCCTGGCTGGGGAATTCTGGGAGTTGAAGTCCACACACCTTACAGTTCCCAAGCTTAAGAAACTGTCCCAGAAGAACCTACAGACCCAAATCCCTGTTTTTAGCACTGCTGGTCAAGAAAACCTAACCATCCTTCAATCCCTCAGGTGGCTCACCTGGAAGACCTTACATCCAGCCATCGTCTGTCCCTGTTGGACATCTTCCCCCACCTCCACCCAAAAATCCCCATAATGGATGGTTACAATATAGAAATCTAGCCCAGATCACAAAATATCTGATCCCAAAAGTGGGTGATAAGCTAACATCTCAAATGTCCGCTTTTCCAATACCTTCACGTCAGTTCCTGGCATCGTCGGCAGATTCTTCGAGTTGCACACCAAATGGAGAGCATGAACCGCCTCCTGCTGAAACAGGAAGCATCGATTAAAGTTTCCAAAAGGATCTCAGGAGCACATTTTGTGGATGCTCCGTTAACTGCTGAAAGCAAAAGGCTAGCAGGGCATACGCCACCTACCTTGGTGAGGACCTCTTGCAGAAAAAGATGGTCGGGCAACAACTTTCCAGAGTAGATCAACCTCTGAGTATCTTCAGGCTTGGAAGAGACAAAAAACAGTTTTAACCATCTTTTTTTTTCCTTTTTTTTCCAGAACAAGATTCCTTGTTCTTGTAAATGTGCAAGTATGCATTTTTGTTGTTGTAAATTATAAACAGATGATCTTTGGACGACCAGCTGAGCGATGACCTTTGGGACACTTCTGAAAAGGAAAATATTTCCCCTTTGAGTGAGATTGCTGCTGGATTCCAGTTGTTTCCTCTGTGGCTGAACTGCACAGGGAGATTTTAGTCTTTCGTCCATAGGCTTAAGAGAACAAATGCCAATTGCACAAGAGAGTTTACAGAAGGAGCAAGTAATGAAACCACAGGAGATCTGACTTACAACAGTTCATTTAGTGACCATTCAAAATTACAACCACACAGAAAAGTGACTTAATGACTGTTTTTCACACTTATGACCGTTGCAGCATCCCCATGGCCACATGATCAAAATTTAGACGCTTGGCACTGACTCATAGTTATGACAGTTGCAGCGTCCTGGACTCATATGATCCCCTTTTGTGACTTCCTGACAAAGCTAATGGGGTAGCTAGATTCACTTAACAGTTACTAATTTCAGTGATTCACTTAACTGTGGCACAAAAGGACATAAAATGAGGCAAAATTCATTTAACAAATTTCCCACTTAGCAACAGAAATTTCAGGCATTTATCTTAATCATTGACATATTTCAGTAAAGTTTGTCACGTACACTTTTCTTTGATTACTAATTAGCAGCTGAAAGTAGACTTCTATAGGCCTCTAAACCTTCAGATAACCCGTTTTGTCTTTAAGCCAAGGCACCATCCTTAGAAATTCACTGCATTGTTTTAGATGTAAAGACTGGTTTCTACCAGTTCCCAACCAACAACTCTTTCAAAGTAGCTCCCACACCCACAAATGTGGAGGCTATCAACCTGGGGAACTGGCTGTTCTGCACCTTGGGTTTGCTGCATTGGTACAGTTTTATGGGCAGAGTAAAACTCAATTTTTCCTGCTCCAAACTTCACTGAAGAAAATCCTTGGGCGGAAGATGAAACATCAAAGCAGAAAGGGTCCAAATCCTAACACACCACTGTACAACCAACATGCCTTGTAGCAGGTCAGGGTTCTCAAGAGGTCAACTGCGCTAAGCTGGCATGTAAGGCCAAAACGGATGGGCAACGGGCAACATGGAGCTGCACTACCCAGCCTACCTTATCAGTGGCCTTGGGGAATGACGTTGCTACCAAATAACTTCTCAAATTCCTGGAAAGGTCACATGCACCACCCAGCCTTGGGACATTTTGTCTTAAAACAACCTCTTGCATTGTTTTAAGATCTTTTCTTCTCATTCCTTTGCCTTCCCTGTTGCATGCAATGAAAACTTTTATTGCTTTCAATGCTTTTCCACCAGGCAATTCCAATCCAGCCTTACCTTGTTATTATATGGCCAAAGTATTTTAACCTTGTTAGTATCAGGAAAGGGGAAACAGTTTCCAATATATAGAAATACACAAACATTAACTATGGAACTCTACTGAAACCTCTCTTCTCCTTTTGAGTTAATTTCAAACAAAGAAAATACTGGCAGTTGGCTCTCAGTTGCATCATCTGCTCTGCAAAGCAAATAAGTGTCAAAATTTTGTTTTGTAGGAGGAAAGATACAAAAAAAGCAATCATGACCTATATTTTTCCTGCTTTAACCACTAGCTTTAGAAAGACAGTCCAAAATTTCTGAATATTAACAGAAGTTGTTCACAGGAAGATGTTTTTTTTTTGGGGGGGGGGGGGGGAAATCAAATTATGTAGAGTACAGAGGACAAAATGTTATTTCTTTTTCCATTCAGATGATCTAGTAGTTATGTTTTATAATAAACTGATGGCTGATGCGGAAAAGGCACTTATTTCACTTTGGCCCCATGCCCTAGAAAGCTACATTTCTCAAAAGCAAGACACCCAGCCACCACAAGGAAATATTGAAAGTTCGGATCTGATTAATAGAATAAAGGGTCCTCCAGAGGTCTTCCAGTCCAACCCAAGCAGAGACTCTGGCCTATACCATGCTGTACAAAAGGCTGTCCAATCTCTTTAAAAACCTCCAGTGACGGAGCATCCACAATGTCTGGAGGCAAGCCGTTCCGCGGACTAATTGTTCACTCTCCAAAGCATCAAGCATCAACACACCCAGCAAAATGTCATCATTCTAAACCATATTAACAATTTCCATGAAAATATTGCAGGAAAAGTGGGCCACGCCGGTTCTCTCCACAGAGCCAAACCCACACAAAGATTTTATTATTTTTGGAAGGGAACTCCTTCTAACAGCCAAACCTAACTCAAAAGGTTTTTTTTTATAAAAAAAATCAGGATAATTCCTTGGCCATTATTCAGATTTTTTTAAAAGAAAAGGTTCAAAATACATAAAGGACATCTAGTACAGGCAGGCAACGTCATGAACAAGAAATTCCTTTAAAATTGTTGGATGCTCCAAAGTCCAGGAGCTGATAAAACCTTGACAGAGGCTCATACCCTGCTTAGCTCTGGGATGGGACACCACCAGGAAATCCCCAACAAACAGGAAGGACAAAATCCATTTTGGAGAAAAGCAACTTCCTAGAATTGCTACCAGAAATTTTCTCAGAAAGTCCCTGGGATAAATCGGCAACTACAGGGATTTTTTTTTTTTAAACAGATGCAACAATGATCCTTGCTCTGCATCATGGGACCAGAGCCAATGCACTCTGTGCATGCTCAGAAATCCACTGGGATAAACCACAACCCTGCAAAGATCAAGTGCATTTCAAAAGCGGCTTTTGAACGCTCCGAATTGCACCCAGCAGAGGAAATGCGCTCTGCACTTGCTCAGAAACTCCACCCCCCCCCCCAATAGAGCCGGCGCGAGTCACGAAGCACAGAAAAGGGGAAGGGAGACCAAGCGGGGTGGAGACTCAAAGGTTCTTCCCTACCCAGCACCATGTTGGAGGAAGGTCAAAGGGCTTCCATGCTGGCAAGGGGACAACACCCATCATCCCCAGCCGCGTCGCTCTACTGTCCAACACGGGGGCTGGGGGAGAGAAAGGAAGGGCAGGGAAGGACCCCGCAAGTCAGGAGAAAAAGCGCTTAAAGCCGCTTTGAAACCCTCTTCCCCACCCACAACCCCAGCCTCCGTCGTCGGGCCCCTCCCTGGAAACCCACCCCGAGGCCCGCATCTATCTTGGCAAGCCATCCCCAGCCAGGAAGCCGAAGTGGGATAGACTGCGCCCGTCCGAGGAGGCTCCACTTCGCGGGAGGGGGGGGGAGGGCAAGCGCGCATGCGCGTTTCAGAGCTCACCGGCTCATCTGGGTGAAGGTGTCGCAGCTCCGCCTTGAGGCGCCGGACACTCCAGGAGCGCCGGGCCGACAGAAGCAAGTCCGGGTGCCGCTGCGCGGGGCTCTTGACGACGAGGCCCACCTCCTCCACCTCCTCGGCTTGCCGGCTTTCCATCCTCCTTGAAGGCCTCAAAATCCTCCCGCTTCCTCCCCGTCCACAAAAACCCTCCTCGGTCTACGACGACGTCAACGGCCTCAGGAGCGGCGATGGCCGCTTTTATAGGCTCGCGGGCGGCTCTGGCTACGCCTCCCGCATTGTGGCGACGTCGCTGTGGCCGCCGAGGATTGGCCTCCAGGACGAGCTCGCGCCGGACGTGGACCTATCAAGGAGAGGCCGCTGGGCGGGACAGGGCGGAAGGGAAAGCGCGATAGGGCGTGGGAGGAGGCTTCTCAACCCGGAGGCGGGACGTTGATCTTGGTTGGTGCACGGCGCACAGCTGGACAGTTGGACTCCCACTCCCACAGTTCCTTGCCATTGGCTTGGTCGGCGGGGGTGGATGGGAGTTGAAGTCCGCAGTCTCTTTGCGGCCTTCCGCATTTCGTAACTGTTGTTTACTGTTGCTGCTGCGTTCCCACAAGAAACAAGGCTGAACTAAAATTAGGTTGCCTGTGATGCAGCAGCCTGCGGTGGGGATGCAGCCAATTGCCTCAGAACGAGGCGTGTGCCAAGCACTCACATTGAACTGTATTAAAAACTCTGTCAAGGACCTTGGAGTACTCGTCTCTAATGATCTAAGGGCCAGAGCCCACTGTGACAACATTGCCAAAAAGGCATTAAGAGTTGTTAACCTAACCTGTAGCTTCTTCTCTGGTAATATTGTGCATGGGTCCCCAAACTTGGCAACTTTAAGACTTGTGGACTTCAACTCCCAGAATTCTCCAACTGGATTGCTGCAAGGGGAATTCTGGGAGTTGAAGTCCGGATGACTGAACAGTGGCTGAGGGGGTGAAAGTGGCTGCTCCCGGCCTTTGGGTCTCCTTGGGATACCTCAGTGGGCAGCCCTGGGCAGGCAGCCCTACTATCCTTCTCTAGAAGGAAGGAAGGAAGGAAGGAAGGGGAAAGAAAGAAAGAAAGGGAAAGAAAGAAAGAAAAGAAAGAGAAAGAAAGAAATGAAAGAAAAGAGAAAAGAAAGAAAGAAAGAGAAAGAAACAAAGAAAGAAAGAAAGAAAGAAAGATGTTTTTGACCGGGGGTCCCCAAACTTAGCAACTTTAAGACTTGTGGACTTCAACTCCCAGAATTCTGGGAGTTGAAGTCTACAAGTCTTAAAAGTTGCCAAGTTTGGAAACCACCGAACTAAAGCATACAAAATATTTGCTAGACCAATTCTTGAATACAGCTCATCCGTCTGGAACCCACACTGCATATTGGACATTAATACAATCGAGAAAGTCCAGAGATATTTCACGAGAAGAGTCCTCCACTCCTCTACTTGCAACAGAATAATTTACGCCATCAGGCTGGAAATTTTGGCCTTGGACAACTTAGAAGTACGCTGCCTTCGGTCTGACCAAAACGTAGTACATAAAATTATCCGTTGCAATGTCCTACCCGTCAAAGACTACTTCAGCTTCAATCTCAACAATACACAAGCACACCGTAGATACAAACTCAAGGTAAACTGCACCAAACTAGATTGCAGGAAATATGACTTCAGCAATAGAGTGGTCAATGCCTGGAATGCACTACCTGATTCTGTTGTTACATCCTCTAACCCCCACTCCTTTAACCTCAAACTATCCACTACTGACCTCACCCCACTCCTAAGAGGTCTGTAAGAAGCGTGCATAAGTGCACCATCATGCCTATTGTCCCTGTCCTAATGTTCCCTTTTTATTTGTATCCATTTCTTGCATAATCATGTTTATACTTATGTGTGTTACTTAATACATGCTTGACAAACAAATAAATAATAAAATAAATAAATAAAGTATTATGGTGGGTTTGCAACTTTGCACGTTGCATAACATGAATGCAGCAACTTTTGCAGCCCTTAGAAGATCTTTTTAAGAAATGGCAGGTTTTGTCTTTAAATTGAGATTTGGCTCCTGGGAAACTGAGATCCAGAAGAACCTTAGAAGTTATCTTGCACTATGCAAGTACCTTTATCTATCCTATCAGTTTCCACCCTAACAATAGTGTTTTCTGAAATTCTTATCTTACCAAATTTAGAATTTACGTGATGGAGACTGAAGCAGGAATAGCCAACACTCCAGAAGAGAGGCTTAGGATACAAAAGAATCTTGACAGACTTCAACACTGGGCGCTATCTAACAAAATGAAATTCGATGGTGAAAAAAGTAAGGTTCTACGTTTAGGCAAGAAAGCCAAATGCACAGGTATGGTATAGGTGCTGGTACCTGGCTCAATAGTAGTAACTGTGAGAGGGATCTTGGAGTCCAGTGGACAATCACTTAAATATGAGCCAGCAGTGTGCTTCATCTGCCAAAAAAGCCAACACACTCCTAGGTTGAATTAACAGAAGCGTAGAATCAAGATCACATGAAGTGTTAATACCACTTTATAATACCTTGGTAAGGCCATACCTGGAATATTGTATCCAATTTTGGTTGCCACGATGTAAAACAACATGTTGAGACCCTGGAAAGAGTGCAGAGAAGAGCAACAAAGATGATTAAGGGGCTGGAGGCTAAAACATATGTTGCTGGAATTGGGTATGTCTAGTCTAATGAAAAGAAGAACTAAGTGTAATATGATAGCAGTGTTCCAATATTTGAGGGGCCGCCCCAAAGAAGAGGGAGTCAAGCTCTTCTCCAAAGCACCTGAGGGAAGGACAAGAAGCAATGGGTGGAAACTAATCAAGGACAGAAGCAACCTAGAACTAAGAAATTTCTTGACAGTTAAAACAATCAGTGGAACCACTTCCCTCCAGAAGTTGTGGATGCTCCAACACTGGAAGTTTTTAAGAAGGGATTGGACAACCATTTGTCTGAGAGTTTCTTGCCTGAGTAGGGGCTGGACTAGAAGATCTCCAAGATCCCTTCCAACTCTGTTGTTCAGTTCTGTCAATTGCCAAGTGCCTGAACAATAGGGAATGCAAAATCCTGTATTCTTCTCTAATACAGTTTTCCAATCTTGGCAAGAGGTCCAGACGTCAATTCCTAGAGTGGCTATGGCTGTGGAATTCTGGTAGTCCATACCAGGGTAGGAGAGAGCTCCATCATATGTTGATGGAATTCAACTCTCTGGTTATTTCTCATGCTGTCAGGGAATGTTGCCATGGAGGTATGCTGCTGCCTGCACACCTTTTATCTTCTCAGGACATGGAGATTGTAACAATGGTATGGTTGCCGCCTTCATAGTAGACTAGCAAGATCTTGCAGGACTCTTTTTGCAAGACCAGAATTAGAGCCCTTGGCAGAAAGAATAACAAAGTTGGAGGGGACCTTGGAGGTCTTCTAGTCCAGAGGCCTTCAAACTTGACAACTTTAAGGCTTGTGGACTTCAACTCCCAGAATTCCTGAGTTAACATGACTGGAGGAGGAATTCTGGGAGTTGAAGTCCACAAGTCTTAAACTTGCCAAGTTTGAAGACCCTTGTTCTAGTCCAACCCCGTGCTCAAACAGGAAGCCCTATACCAGTGGTGGCTAACCTTTTTGGGCTCCTGTGCCAAAAATTGTGCATGCGCTTGCACGCTCGCACTTGCGTGCCAGCACCCAGAAAGCAGTGCACACACCCCCCATGCCCCCTATGCATGCACACACAATACCCGCCACCCCCTTGCCTGCATTACGCCTCACAGCTGATTTTTGGCTTGTTTGTGGCCTTTTTTGGCCTCCCAGAGGCTTGAGGAAGGCTTCTGCATGGTTCTGCAGGCTTCGCAGGCCGAAAACTAACCCCGTTTCATCACTTCCGGTATTCTCGGAAAAATAGGAAGTGACAAAACGGGGGCTAGTTTTCGGCCTGCAAAGCCTGCAGAAGCCTTCCTCAAGCCTTTGGGAGGCTGAAAAAGGCCTCAAACCGGCCAAAAATCAGCTGTGAGGCAGCTCGCGTGCCAGCACAAATGGCTTTGCGTGCCCCCTGTGGCATGCGTGCCATAGGTTCGCCATCACGGCCCTATGCCATTCCAAAAAAGTGGCTATTCAGTCTCTTCTTATAAGCCTCCACTGACGGAGCAGCTACAACTTCTAAAGGTAAGCTTTACCACTGGTTAATTGTTCTCACTGTTAGGAAAGTCCTCCTTAGTTCTAGGTTGGATCACTTCCATCCATTGCTTCTTATGCTGCGTTCTAGTGCTTTGGAGAATAGGTTGAGCCTCCTCTTCTTTGTGGCAGCCCCTCAAATATTGGAAGACTGCTCTCATGTCACCTCTGGGTCCTTCTTTTCTCTAGATTAGCCATATCTAATTCCCGCAACCGTTCACCATATATTTTAGTCTCCAGGCCCCAAATCATCTTTGCGGCTCTTCTCTGCACTCTTTGCAAAAGCCTCAACTTCTTTTTTGTAACGTGGTGATCAAAAGTGGATGCAGCATTAGAGAAGATGAGAAGGACCTTCTCAGTTCAGACCTGGAAGTAAGAGGTCAATCTCAGGGACCAGAGTGACTGAGTTGGGCGGCCATTAAAATTTGAATGAATGGATGGATGGATGGATGGATGGATGGATGGATGGGGGACATTGAAACACAGAGGCACACACAGAGAGACAGTCAAACACACCCATCTAGAGAAGGAAACACCAGGTTACTAAGAAAAAAAGCATCAGTCCTTCCTTGATCTACCCACATAAGTTAATCATCTTACCAAGGAGTCACTTCATTTCGTATTGCCCAAATAATGCTGTTGGCATTTTTCTTAATCTGGTACAGATCACAAGCACCAAAGAGTGAATTCATTTTTTTCCTCTTTTATTATACAAAATCAAAGGGCCTGTTCCTGATTTCCCGGCCTCCGTGCTAACGCTGTCCATCGTATCTCTAGTTCCCTCTAGTTCTATTTTAATCTGAAACCTTCAGATCACTTTACACGGACAAGGATTTTCTGTTTACTTTAATTTATAACTGTCTATCTCAGCCTTTTTATCTCCATGTTCCTATCTGGCTTGTTTGTAGTGAGATGTTTTCTTGTCTGCAGTATTTGTTAAGCTCCTTTGCTCAACCAAGCTCATTTGCATTTGAAAGCTTTTCTCTGAAGACTAGCAAATGGAGATTTTTCTCTCCTCCCAGCACTCAAGAAATCCTCTCTT